TGTCTGTCTGTCTGTCTGTCTGTCTGTCTGTCTGTCTGTCTGTCTGTCTCTGTGTGTGTCTCTCTGTCTCATGCTTTCCTTCTGCCTATTTCTCTCTCTATCTCCCACCTCTCCTTCTCCTCCTTCTCCTCCTCCTCCTTCTCCTTCACGTTCCTTTTCTCTCGCGCTCTCATTTTTTCTTTTTCGCGTGAGCTCTCTCTTGCTTCCTCGTTCCTTCTCTCCCTCGCCCTAACCCTCTCTATCCTCTCGCTCCTTCGCACTCCCTTCGACGCTCATTAAGCAACGTTTGAGCCATTAAAGAGCGCATTCGAGCAGAAACGCGAGAATATAGATAATAAGTTGAATCACTTCCGCCAATCCCTCCCCCATCCACGGAGACGCCTCCTCCCCTCCCCCATCCACGGAGAGAGAGAGGGGGAGAGAGAGCTGGCTTGCTCGTTCGCTCGACGTATTGTTCTAGAGAGAGAGAGAGAGAGAGAGAGAGAGAGAGAGAGAGAGAGAGAGAGAGAGAGAGAGAGAGANACACACACACACACACACACACACACACACACACACACACACACACACACACACACACACACACACACACACACACACACACACACACACACACACACACACACACACACACACACACACACAGAGTGAGAGATAGAGAGAGTCCGTGTGTAGCAGCGACGCACATACCGGGTATTTCACTACTCGACCACGACCAGCTCCCAGCACAATGAAAACGTTGTTATACCAGGGGAAAAAACTTTACATCGATATCGCTCACTCCATCTCTACACCCATCCGCTTACGAACCCGGATCGACTAATTCCATCCGAGACGTCCAAGGTCGGACCGACGGTCGGAACATTACGTAATCCCAGCGGGCATCAATTAGGCAGCAGCGGCGGCGGCTGAGCGACTGCCTGCCGACGTCACTGCTGCATGCGTCGTCGGTGTAGCAGCTCCCCCTGCCGACGTCACTGCTGCATGCGTCGTCGGTGTAAACTAACTCCAAGTGGTGTGGCATAAAAGTTTGCAGGAATGCCTGTTTGACGATCCAAAGAGTGCAGAGGGCAAATCAGAGAGAAACATTTAGAGCACTAAAGCCAAGAGTCAGTCACAGCCCGCGTGGTAAAAATCGGCTGGCATGCAACAGTGGTGCCCATGTTCTCATCACAACAGGGGCTTTCCCCTTCAGCCTCTACTATCTTCTCTTTAGTGCAACCAGTCTGACAGCTCCATGTCTTTCTGTGATGAAACTGGCGCAACAGGAACAGCCAGTATCGAGCGAACGGCTGCCACTCTTGCTTGGACGAAGAGAGTCCAATGATTCGCTGATAACTGTTAGGGTGAACAAACCGTCTGTTGGCCAAAAAACCTTCTCCACTGGTGATATGGATCCCGGCTCTATAAACTGCGAGCTCATATATCGCATTCGCACTGCCTGCGCCATATAAAGGGGAACGTTTACCATGAGGGGAAAATATACCACGCTACATAATGGAATTGACCTTTATTGTTCAGCACGTGCGGTGTATAGGAGAAGTGGCGCGTGGTGGTGGTGGCAGGGGGAGCTGTTACACCGACGACACATGCAGGCAGTGACCGTCCGGCAGGGGAGCAATGTACACCCTTTTACGACCGCATGCAAGCAGTGACCCCCGGCTCCGGGGCCCAAGGGGGGATAAAGCTGCACACCGACGACGCCATGTAGCAGTAACCGTCCGGGCAGGGGGCAGCAGCTAACAAGACACCGACGACGCATCACGCAGTGACGTCGGCCCAGGGCCAGGGCTGCTACACCGACCGACGCATCCGCAGCAGTGACGTCCGCACGGGGGAGCCTGC